CGCCCCGCGCCCGAGGCCCCGCCCCGCGCCGCTGCGGTCCATTATGTGTTTGTTAGTAAATTTATTCCTCGAACGAACCAAGCGGTCTTCCTATCGATTTCCTTCTACCGGAAAGGTCTCCAGGTGAGCGCTCCGCGCTCCCGCACCTGAGCAGGACTCTGAGCTCCGGCAGGACTCGTCTGGGTCCTCGGGCTGAGTCTCTGAGTGGCCTTCCCGGCGCATAAAATGCGGCGCACCCTCCTGCGTGTTCACTGGGACTCTAGGCCGGATGAGCATGAGCTGTATCAGCGCTAAGAGAGTCTTAAAATGTTTAGGCAGGAGGAGAGTTGGGAGGCCTCCTGAGCCTTGTAGTAAGTACATGGCCAGGAAACGGAGGCCCAGAAGTGGAAAAGGTTTTGATCTCAGACACACAGCAAGTGTGCCGCACAGGCTGGACTCCAGCTCAGGTCTGCCTGACTCCCAGTCTAGGGAGTGAGAGGAAAACGCCCCCCAAAGGGCTGGGAAAGTGGGATAACAGAGACAGGACCCCCTCCTGGTGTGGTTCTGGGACTTTCTGCCTCTCTGAACTCTAGAACAGGCCTGGGGTTACAGCCTCTGTTTTGCTCCCTCATTGCCAATTTCATCTCTTCCTCCATAAAACTAAAATGCTTAAGGCAAGGTCTTAATTAAAGAACACTTGGAATTTCTTTTTCCTTTTGCATTGTGGTAACAAGTACATAAAATTTACCATTTTTACCACTTTTACATGTACAGATCAGTGGCATTCAGTACTTTCACCTTGTGTAACCATCATCACCATCCACCTCTAGAACTTTTTCATCTTGCAAACTGAATGGAGTTTCTTTCTTTTAATTGTACAACTGAATTGAACCTTACGTATGATTATTGAAAAAAAGATTCTTTCCAAATTAACCAAAAAGTCCTCTCACATACAGGGGAGTAGGGCTTGACCCTCAGAAAAGAAATATAGATCACAAACAACCTTTGGGTGCCCATCTTTGGCCCTGTTTTGAGCTCAAACACAAGTCTGTCTTGTGGCCCAGGGCAACTCAGAGAAGTCAGGTTGGCTCAGGGCTTTTTCAGCCTCAGAGTCAAGGATGAGAAGGCAGCAGCCAGGCTCAGCCCACATCTCACCTACTCCCGGGATCTCCGTGGTCAGGAGGCAGTACAGTTGTTGGTCAGGCCAGACCTTCAACTGGGACATTTCTTGGGCCAAGAGTATCTATGACATGGGTCGGACAACACCAGGAAGCCTCTCCTTCCTGCTCTGAAAAGCCTCGTCCTTCCTACCTCTGGCTTCAGGCTAACCAGTCTTCCGTCTATGATCTCATGCTTGGTCTTCAAGGTGTCATTGGAGGCCAGGAGACCGGGGGATAGGAGGAAGTTGCTGAGTCAAGATTTGAACCCAGGGCATGGTGTTTCTCAATGCAGGCAGCACTGGCATTCTCAATGAGATGATTCATCACTGGGCAAGTCCGTCTATCTGTTTCATATGTTTGATCTCCCTGGCCTGCCCACTGAATGCCAAGAGTGTCTCCCAGTCATTGTGACAACCAAAAGCATCCCATGCAGAATCCTAGGGATCAGGAGGAGGGAAACCTGGGTCAACCCACTGCTCTCAGGCCTCAAATTCATCTGAAAAAGGTGGTAGGAATTCTTGTGATTAATTTAGCTGCTATGGCACACAGTGGGGCTCAACACATGTGCTTTCCTTTCTTCCAGAAGCGGGTACTTTGAGGCCAAACTGCCCTTCTTGGCGGGGAGATGTGAAACTCTTAGTCCTTGAGGCTCAGCTGTGAGGCAGGGCACTTACCTATGTCTCAGCTGGGACCTTGAGGGGCTCAGGGCACTTACCTATGTCTCAGCTGGGACCTTGAGCAAGTCATTCACTCTTCTATAGTGTCCTGCCTCCACCCCAAACTCTGGGAGCAGTCTGCAAGCTCTAAAATTTAAAGTTTGCAGTTGAAAAGTTTGCAGACCTGAGGATACACAGGATGAGGCCACAAGGGGGCAGCAACGGGTCATGAATGGCTTTGTCTTACCCAAAGGAGCAGGAAAGGGACCCCGGTGAGTATCTGGGGAAGCGGGAACGTGTGGCTTCTGCACTCATAAGGATCTGCCCACTAATCAACCAGCATCACGGTACTTCCAGGCAGACTCTGTGCCCTGTCAAGATGACTACCCCCTCAGGGCCTCAGTTTCCCCACATGTAAAATGGATATAGTGAAACCAGTCACATAGGCCTCCTTGGCCCTCTTCTTTGCCAGGCTGGTGGGGAGATTCATGAGGTACCTGGGTGTTCGGAGGAGCAAACTACAAATTGTAGAGTGCAGTAGATTTGTGAGGTTATACTGGAATGCCAAAGGACACTTGGATAGTGATCACCATCATCACAGCCCCACTGTTTCTCTTCCTTTTCACACTGCTGGCTTCCCTGGTGACTCAGAGCAGTGGGCCTGCCACTTATCACCAGCAACTTAGGGAGAGAGGTGAGGACTTGACACATTCTTCCTCCTTAGCCATTGTGTGGCTGGGACGCTTCTGCTTGGTGAGGAGGCCACGTAGTAGGGTCTAGGGGGATGGCCCAAAACTGTGGCCCTCCTTAGACCTCAGTCCTTGGAGGGAGAAAGCCTGAGACACTGTCACTGCAGGCTTCTTCTTGTCTACACCACCCTGGATGTGCTTGGTTTTGTCGCCTGTGAAATGGGCCTATTCCTTGGGTATCTCTCAGGGTTATTATAAGGACCACCTGAGGTGAGTGATGTAAGACTGTGGCCCTTCCTTGGTCTTGGAGCGGGGAGGAGAGAGATAGATCTCTGAATCATGAAAGCTTCCCAGGGTCTGACCTGTCCGGGGTTCTTTTTGTATTCCACACAGTTGGCCCTCACTAACCACAGACAGAATGAGGTGGCAGGTCGAATTTTCTAAGGTGACTGCAACAAGGTCTGCTACCCCACATTTTCTCCTTGAAATATAATGTTGACACTTTTCCCTTGGATTGAGGGTTAATTGCTGATTGTGGCAGAAAGTGACACCATATGACTTCTGAGGCTTGGCCATAAAAGTTGACACAACTTCAACCCAGTCCACCTGGGCCATTAACCCTTAGCATCCAGTAGCCATGCTGTGAGGAGCCCAGACCACATGGAGAGGCCCTGGGTAGGTGTTCTGGCTATCCGATGTCCCAGCTGACAGCCAGCATCAATTGCCAGGTGTGAGGGAGCTCGAGTGACAACCATCCAACTGAGCCCATTAACCCCAGAACTACAAGAAAAAATATAAATGGTTGTTGTTTTAAGGCAACAAGTTTTGGGGTGCTTTGCTATGCAGCAGCCACTGGTCACTCTATCAGAGGAGCTCACAGTGGCTCAGTGACATGATTGATGGGCCAGAGGGCTCAGCTGGTATGTGGCAAGGCTGAGCCTTGGGTCTGTGTCTTCCTAACTCCGAACCCTATCTTTGCCTGACCCTGAACTACTTCCTCTGGTTTCTGGGGTGGCTCTGACCCAGGAAGAGTCCCCTTGTCCCTCCCCACTTTTCAGTGGCCGGGCTGAAACCTCACCCACAGGTGCCCCAGGGGCAGTCTGCAAGGACAGGCACACCCAAACACAAATTCGTGGTTTATTACACGCAGCAATATCCATCTACACAGAGAGGGGAGGTGAGTAGCTGGGCCAGAGCTGGCGGCTGGGGACCCTTGTCAGCAGTGGGGAATCTTCTCCTCGGTGCTCAGGTGGCAGGCCCCTCACTCGGGCCAGCTGGGAACAAGCCCTGAGGTTCTCTTCACCTGCAGAGTTCACCTGGAGGACTTTAGGCAAGCTGACCAGAGTTCTCCTGGGAGGAAGACTTGGGGCCAGTGAGACCCAAACTCTGAGCTGGAGGCCCGTCTCCTCAAGCTGGCAAAGTCCCATCACATCTCTGCTCTGGGTGGTGTGGAGATATGCACAGGAAGCAGCAGCCGCTCCAGCCTGGGCTCTGCTGTCCGCCACACTCAGGGACCACAGAGCTCCCTGCAGCTGGGTCCACGTGGTAGTGATCACAGTACTTGGCCTCTATCCCTGGCCAGAGGACGTGTGCTCTTATACATGTTGGCTCCCAAGGGCTAGTGAACTTGGTGACAGCTAGACCTGCTCAGGGCGCTTTCCACAGCTGGAGGGGCTGGGCGGGAGTCTTGTCCTGCCCCTGTGAACCCAGGGTCTGGGAGGGCCTGAGGGGGTGGGCAGCTGGCTCTGGCTGAGTCCAGAGGCTGAGGAGGACAGGAGAAGCTGCGATGGCCATCTGAGCCTCTGGTGGGCCCCTGGGAGCTCTGGTTCTTCAGGAGGCAGGTTCTTCAGGAGGCAGCCGGGCAGCCAGTCCTCTCGGCTGATTAGGTGACTGAAGGCCCAACCCGGTGTCTTTGCAGCCTTGGCTGAGGCAGGTACGCACCTTCATTTTTGTCGTCTTTGTGGGAGAGCCAAGTCCTGTGTGTGCCCCTCAAGTACACAATTCCTGGATCGGCCTGCCATGTTCCTGCCAGCTTCACACGCTGATGGGCTGGGCACATGCTCAAAGGTTAAAAGGCCACAGGCAGTGCATCCCATAAAAAAAGATCAATATATTACTGTCTTGTTTTTACAAAAAATTAAAAATGTCCACACGGATCTGTACAGGTCGTGAGCTGTGTACTGGGGATCACTGGAGCAGGAGGGAAAGACTGAAAGTGAGGAGGGGCTGTGAGGCCCCGGGGTCCCCTCCCCATCCTGCCCACTTCCTCGGGAACATGCACACCCCTGCCCCTTGTTCCTAGGCTCCTGGCTTCCACCCCCTCTCAGAGGGTCAGTTTGAACAAAGTCCCAGGGGGCCCTGATGGCTTCGTACTGGCTGGGTCAGGGGT